CCATCCGATGCGATTGCGAGGGCATTCCGGAGGTCATTATCGGCGCCATCGACCGTGATATGTCTCGCCCCGCAGCCCTCATGCACCGAACGGATGCACGCAGTCATAATATGTAGGCCTTCTCTCCCACAGTTTTGAGCAATAGCCGCAAACAACGCTTTTTGGCACTTGCATCGCGACAAGGTCACACGCGGACTCTCCAGCCTCTCAGCTCACGACCTCGCCTTCTCTGCCGCTCTCCTGGCTCAGGCCCGTCGGTAGCAAGCCCGAGCCGCCCCGGACCGCACTTATCTTGGGTCTGCAAGCTCACACTGGCTCGTGATGCCACGGGGAGGGCTCGAGATTGTCTCCGGTGGACCCCATCCGATGCGATTGCGAGGGCATTCCGGAGGTCAATATCGGCGCCATCGACCGTGATATGTCTCGCCCCGCAGCCCTCATGCACCGAACGGATGCACGCAGTCATAATATGTAGGCCTTCTCTCCCACAGTTTTGAGCAATAGCCGCAAACAACGCTTTTTGGCACTTGCATCGCGACAAGGTCACACGCGGACTCTCCAGCCTCTCAGCTCACGACCTCGCCTTCTCTGTCGCTCTCCTGGCTCAGTTCTATCGGTAGCAAGCCCGAGCCGTCCCGAACCGCACTTATCTTGGGTCTGCAAGCTCACACTGGCTCGTGATGCCACGGGGAGGGCTCGAGATTGTCTCCGGTGGACCCCATCCGATGCGATTGCGAGGGCATTCCGGAGGTCATTATCGGCGCCATCGACCGTGATATGTCTCGCCCCGCAGCCCTCATGCACCGAACGGATGCACGCAGTCATAATATGTAGGCCTTCTCTCCCACAGTTTTGAGCAATAGCCGCAAACAACGCTTTTTGGCACTTGCATCGCGACAAGGTCACACGCGGACTCTCCAGCCTCTCAGCTCGCCACATCGCCTTCTCTGCCGCTCTCCTGGCTCAGGCCCGTCGGTAGCAAGCCCGAGCCGTCCCGAACCGCACTTATCTTGGGTCTGCAAGCTCACACTGGCTCGTGATGCCACGGGGAGGGCTCGAGATTGTCTCCGGTGGACCCCATCCGATGCGATTGCGAGGGCATTCCGGAGGTCAATATCGGCGCCATCGACCGTGATATGTCTCGCCCCGCAGCCCTCATGCACCGAACGGATGCACGCAGTCATAATATGTAGGCCTTCTCTCCCACAGTTTTGAGCAATAGCCGCAAACAACGCTTTTTGGCACTTGCATCGCGACAAGGTCACACGCGGACTCTCCAGCCTCTCAGCTCACGACCTCGCCTTCTCTGTCGCTCTCCTGGCTCAGTTCTATCGGTAGCAAGCCCGAGCCGTCCCGAACCGCACTTATCTTGGGTCTGCAAGCTCACACTGGCTCGTGATGCCACGGGGAGGGCTCGAGATTGTCTCCGGTGGACCCCATCCGATGCGATTGCGAGGGCATTCCGGAGGTCATTATCGGCGCCATCGACCGTGATATGTCTCGCCCCGCAGCCCTCATGCACCGAACGGATGCACGCAGTCATAATATGTAGGCCTTCTCTCCCACAGTTTTGAGCAATAGCCGCAAACAACGCTTTTTGGCACTTGCATCGCGACAAGGTCACACGCGGACTCTCCAGCCTCTCAGCTCGCCACATCGCCTTCTCTGCCGCTCTCCTGGCCCAGGCCCGTCGGTAGCAAGCCCGAGCCGTCCCGAACCGCACTTATCTTGGGTCTGCAAGCTCACACTGGCTCGTGATGCCACGGGGAGGGCTCGAGATTGTCTCCGGTGGACCCCATCCGAGGCGATTGCGAGGGCATTCCGGAGGTCATTATCGGCGCCATCGACCGTGATATGTCTCGCCCCGCAGCCCTCATGCACCGAACGGATGCACGCAGTCATAATATGTAGGCCTTCTCTCCCACAGTTTTGAGCAATAGCCGCAAACAACGCTTTTTGGCACTTGCATCGCCCATCGCGACAAGGTCACACGCGGACTCTCCAGCCTCTCAGCTCGTCACCTCGCCTTCTCTGCCGCTCTCCTGGCTCAGTTCTATCGGTAGCAAGCCCGAGCCGTCCCGAACCGCACTTATCTTGGGTCTGCAAGCTCATACCGGCTCACAACTACCCACACACGGGCCCTCACACGCACATTACAGATCATAGACGTCGCCGGCACGCACTCCCACTTCACACATGCTAAAACACAGCCCCACCAAAGCACAGCCCTGCTCAGAGTAGTCATGGATCACCCTTTGGGAGCCGTGGAAGCCCCACAGCTGCTGCTCCTCTCGGCTCCTTTCAATGCGTGTCGTGCACCCCCACCACAGCGCTGCTCGAGAGAGCTCCAGCGTCCTCCCCGTCGAGTACTCAAGCCTGAGCCGAGAGTCCCGCGCAGCTGGGTCAGGGAGCCAGCTGCACACCCGGTGGCGGCGGCGGGATGGGCCACCGGCACGCCCTGCGCGCCGCTGCCGAGCGGTGTCGGTGAGATTCAAGCGCAGCGGCCCGCCGGCGGGCACCAACGACTCGTCAGACGGCCGCCGGCTGGAGTGCCCAGGGACGACAGCAAGAAACCCGAGGGTGAAGCTCCCTCCTCCTCGCTCTCTTCGTCCGTCTCCATCTCCACGTCGGCGTCCGCGCCGCCTTCACCGGCGTCGCCCATGGTCCTGCATTCGCATTGGTCGCACGCGTCACCGCCGGGCGCAGGTGGGTCTGTGCGTCGGCGTGGGCGGCCGAGGCGGTGTGTGAGCGGCCGGGCAGTCGAGTGGGGCTATGGGGCGCCCTGTGTCCGCGCGGGGTGGCCAGGCTGTGGCTGGGAGTGGAGCGCGGCGGCTTTTGCACCTCCTGCGGAAGCAGCCGTTCAAGCGAGGCGGACCATGCGACTCGAGTGTGGACTTGTGTAGCCGCTCCTGCGCGTGGCGGCCAGGTGGGTGGATGGTCTGGCGGGGTGCAGCGACTCAGGAATTTAGGTGGGCGCAGAGGAGCGCGCGCCGAGCGAGACTGCGGGCCGAACGCGCTGCGAAAGGATTGCCAGTGCTTTGCCCGGGTTTCTGCTGGGGCTCTCCCGCATGGGGAGTAGCGTGAGCTACGATGCATCAGTGTACCAGCGCCGTGTGCATGCCGCGCATCATTAGGGCGATGCGGGGCGTCTACCCATGACATTCGCGCGTCAAGATGAAGGCGCGTGAAGACGAAAACAGCTTGTAAAAGTACATAGACGCAGGGCAGAATTCGTTGCATACAATCTGCATCCGTGGCCGCCAAGCTTCGCCATGCTTAGGAGCGCAACGCGGCTGCTCCCCCGCGCCGCCGCGGGCGTCGCCGTCGCGGCGGCCTGGTCGGCATCGCGCAGCCACGACCAGGCGATGGCGGGCGCACGCTCTGACGCCCGTTGGTGGCAAGCCCAATCCACCCAGGCGTCGCCACCCATAGGCGCTCTGCCAGGTGGAGGTCAAGGGGATAGAGACCTGCGTCAACGGGCTCCCGACGACCAACCCGCAGGGTCGCAGCCTCCCGTCCACCGCACCCTCCCAGCGCCCGCCGCGCTCGGGCACAGCGCTCACCCGCCGCCTGCCCAAGCAGGCCGCGCGCTCTACGGTGACGGCTTCCTCCATCTGATCAAGGGGGCAACCAAGAAGCAGTACGAAGCAGGCGAGTACTTCTTCCGCAAGGGCGACCGCGCGCAGCTGTTCTTCGTCATCCTCTCTGGCGAGGCCTCCGTGATCGACGAGGTGCTCAAACATCTGAGAGGCGAGTACGCCGCCGCGCCTCCCCCTCGGCTGACGGCTCCCACCTTGTAGGATACCTCCACCGTCGTCGACGTACTCGGCCCGGGCTGCATCTTTGGCGAGTCGGCGCTCCTCAACAACCGCGACGATCGGGTCCGCACGCTCTCCGCCAGGACGGGGTGCGAGGTGCTCACGGTGCCAAAGGAGGCGCTGTACAAGGAGCTGCGCCTCGCCAGGCCCGAACTCCCGACCTTTCCATCGCGCGAGGAGCTCGTGCTCGCATTCATCCAGATGGTGGTCCCATCGGAGGCCAAATATACGAGGCGGGTGCAGTACGGCGAGGAAATTTTCCGGCAGGGCAACCGGGGCGATCCGGCCCTCTACATTGTCAACGCGGGAGATTTCGAGGTGCTGCACCAAGAGCCACACCTGGCCGAGGTGAAGGTGTCTTCGCTCGGCCGCGGCGAGTGCTTTGGGTACGTCTCGCTGCTCTCGGAGAACCCGTTCAACCCAAAGCGCTTCACGGTTCGCTGCACTTCGAGGCTCGGGAAGGGCGAAATCCTCTCCATCAACGGCGCGCGCGGGAGCCGGGAGCCGCGCTCCGTGGCCCTGCTGCCCTCCCCTCCATGGACTCGCCACCGCCCACGCGCAGGCGCCGACTTTCATCGCCTGCTCGACCACTCCCAAGTCGTGAGCAGCCTCATGGTGACGACAGCGCGACGGCCCGCCCGCGCGACCGCAGGGCGCATTCTCACCCGCGAGTGCGCCCCTCGCCCGTAGTCGGAGCTCAAGCGCACGCGCGACGAGCTCAACTACTCCGCGATGGCCAAGTTCGGCGCCAACAAAATCCACCACTGGCGGGGCTGCTGATTGCGGGTAGGGGGTAGCCCTGCACGGCGCAGCAGCCGCAAGCGAGAGATCGCTCGCCACCAACGTGGCCGGTCTCCTTCTTGTGATTCTTGCGCCCCGCGTCGGACCCGGCGCGTGTCTCGCAGCATGTCGCTGTCGGTTCTCGGCCCGTTTCTAGATGCGCACCGCGCACTCTGTTTATCTTGAATGCCCCAGCTGCCAGCACGACGCCCGGCTGAGTGAAACAACGAAAACACCGGCGCGCTGCAGAGGCCAACCGCTACACGGTGAGCCAGGGAGTCGGCCGGCGCGAAGCGACGACCGCCGAGCTTTAGGTCGGCGACATCCAGCCGGAGCTGCGATACGGACCTTGCACAAAACCTTAAAAAACAAAACCTTTTCCTTCTAAGCAGGGCTACACAATAAATCCCTCCATAGTGATTAGTGTGGAGGTGTTTCTGGCGAGTCGTGATGAGTAGAATTAGATTAGCCAATGGTATTTCAAAGTTCATATATGTAATATATGAAAATACCAACTTGCCTATGAGCTATGTGCACGTCTCCGCGGCGGCGGCCCGGAGGGGGCCCGGCGGAGCGGTCAGAGCAGCACTGCGCCGGCCGGCGATCGACGCAGCCTCCTCCCCTGCCACCGCCTCTACCCCCGCCGCCGGCGTGGCCGTCACCGCACGGACCCACACGGACCCTGGGGAACCCAACGCCGCCCCGGCTGGAGTACCCGACGGAGTGGACCGAGGGCTCGCCTCCCGCGTTACTGCCGCACGAGACCGCCGTCTCGTGGAGCAGCAGGTGCCCGGCTACTCGAGTACCCGGGTACAGTATAACTGGGCTCAGAGCGAGTTCGCCATGCTGCTCACATCCTCTGGCCACCGCTCTCTGCGGTCGTCATCATGCATCGACTCACCAGCTGCTCGCCTCTCGCTCGCCGACGGCTGGGAGCGAGAGGCTCAGGCCTTCCTCGAGGCCGGTCGCGACTGGGAGGCGGTCGGACGAGCGCTTCGCGACTCGGTGGGGCACGGGACGCCGCTGCCAGGCGACCAGTGCCTCGCGATGCCCTCCGGCCTCCCGGAGGAGCCGCCGCCGCCGGCGGGCGGGCGCACAAAACAGCGAGAGACGTGGGCGCTCTCGCTGGCGTACTACGGGCCCGCCTTTCGGCGCGGCTTTGCGTGGCAGCCCGAAGCTCCCGAGGAGACCGTGATGGGCCGCCTGCAGGCGGCGCTGGAGCCGCTGCTGGCCTCGGCGCACCACGGCCTCTTCCTCTCCTCGGCCGGACGGACCGACGCCGGCGTCTCCGCCACCGGCCAGCTGGTCACCTTCTACTCGTGGGTGCCGCTCTCGCCAGAGCAGCTGCACGCGGCGGTCGCAGAGGCGGCGCCAGCGCCGCGCACGCTCGTCCTGCGCGCCGCCCGTCGGGTGCCGCGCGCCTTCCACGCCACCTTCGCCGCCACGCGCCGGCGGTACACCTACCTGCTGCCGGCGAGCCCGGGCGGGGACGTGCCGGCGGAGGCGCTCGATGCTCTGCTCAAGCCGCTGGCGGGCGCCGCGCGCGACTACCGTGCCCTCGGCCGCGGACTGCCCAAGGGGAAGGACCCGTCCACGCGCATCCTCGCCGCCGCCGCGTCGCGCGTCGCGCTGCCGTGCGGGGCGGAGGCGGTCCGGCTCGACGTCGCAGGCGACCGGTTTCTGCGCCGGCAGGTTCGCACGCTCGTGGCGACGGCGGTGCACGCGGCGCGGAGCCGGCCCGGCGACGAACTCGCGTTGCTCGACCTCGCAACGTGTGGCGATGTGCACCGCACCGCACCCGCCGCGCCCGCGATCGGGCTCTGTCTGGCCGAGGCGGGCTACGGCGCGGCAGCGCCAGACGAGGCTCAGAGTCGTGGAGAGTCGGGGGGGTGATTGCGATGCCACCTCTGTAGTTCAGCATGTTGCCGCCCCGTCGCGCGTGCTAGACGTGAGACACGTCTCACGTCCCACACGTGTGCGTGTAAATGCTAAATCTGTGAATTTATTATTTTCGTGAGCAGACAGCAGAGACGCTTTCACTCCGCAGCTCGCTGTCCGGGACGACGACGAGATGAGTGGCAGTGGGTGGTTGAGAGAGTGAAAGGCTCGTTGTGCGAGTATATGGGCCACGATGTCTCAAATATGAGGGATTTTGACTCCTACCAGCTCCTGACGCTATCCCTGGCAGCTCTAATGGCCAGGATCAGTAGTGTTGTGATAGAGGGTGCCCATACTAGCGCAGGAGCTGCCACACTCGCCCGGACCGTCCCCTTCTGGGGCCGGTTCCGCAGCCCGTGAGAGCCGACCGCGGGGCTGTGCCGCGGGTGCCTACTGCCGAGTTCCACAAACACTGCGCCGTCCCGCCATCACCTACAGGCTGTCTTGTGTGATGGTTGGGATGTCCAAACGCCACCATCTTGGCTCTTGCGACCTCAAACCCGCGAGCTGTATGGGTGGTCCTGACGTCGACAGACGCCCGAGGACCACGGTGAAGCTGAGCCGTAACGAGTCGACAAGTCTCGTCTGAGCCCGTGGCGGTCGCCGGCTGAGTCGCTGTGCACGGGCCGGTACCTCAGGCGTCACCTCCGCAGCCTCAGGTCTCACACTCCATCACCTCCGCCGGGACGCTTTCGGTGGCACGCTCGGCGGCGAGTTTGTTGCAGCTCCACAGCAAGCGCGGCGTCGAGCCTACTTACTCCAGTTGGTTCGGCACACTCGGTGGGGTCCACCGAGTGTGCCGAACGCGCGAGCGGTGCGTCCTGGCAGCCCGCGCTGGCTGCGGAGCTGCAACAAACTCGAGACACGCTTTTTGGGACATTTTCGACGCTTTTGGCCCATATACTCGCACAACATGCCGAAAGTCGTGCGGGGCGCGCGTGCAATTGAGCTCTAAAACTCCCGACTAAGCACCAGGAGGCGGCCGTGGCCGCCTATCTGTCACGCACGGCGGGTGCGGCGCCTGTCACTTGTGGCCGCAGAGGGCATGCCGGGTGCAGCACGCCCGTCAGCGCCGCGTGTCTCTGCTTGCCACCGGCCGCGTCGTTCAATGCGAGCAACCGCAGCCAGCCCCTAGATGCGCATTCAGTCAGCCAGTCCCGCAGCTCTTCGAAGCACCCACCGCTTCCCGTCGCACGCGCCGCACGCTTCCTCCCAGGCGCCTACCCAGACATGTCCGCCGTCGCCGTCGAGGGGACAAGCGAGTCGGCCCCCACCGTTGCGGGCCCCGGGGCTGCTCGAGCACTTTGGCTCCGACGAGTCGATCCGGGGGCGAGCGGCGGTAGGTCGAGGTGATGTGTCGAGGGCGCGCCGAAAATAGGCTTCTTGGGTTTGGCAATAATTATACACGAAATGATGCGCGGTCTCGTCCCCGCCAGCCCACGGGCCACGCGCCGCGTCGTCTCTCGACCCTCACACGAGGCTCGGGACATATACATAGGTTAATCGCGCATTAACACTGCACAGGAAACCTGGGGAGCCTCGCACTGAGAGCGCATGGCCAATGAGATGACGGCAGTTGCCGATTCGCTCTGCGCCCTCCTCGGCTCGGCGGGCCTCCGGGCCTGCTGCGGCTCGTGGGAGGCCGACCAGCCCGGACCCAAACTACGACGACGAGGACGACCCGCGCGAGCGAAGCGCGTATTCCACCTGAGATGCCGTGGGTCTGCCATCTTGTTGTGGCGGCGAAATCACCTCGCTGTCATGTCGCGTAGGCTTCCCGGTCCTCATCCTCTTCGACTTGCTCTCCGATTCCGGTGGACTGTGCGGATTCGTCCTCTCCCGAGTTCCCTCAGGCGGCGTGTTGGGCCCAGAAGGCCCGGCCTCGGAAGACTGCTGCTGCCCCGCTTGGGGGCTGAAATTGGGTCTGCGGGGGGGCGTGCCCAGGGCGTGATGCGTTTGCCACTCTGCATTCAGCATGTTGACCACCTCGACGTGTGATTCGAGCGTCGCGTGAATTGGGGATTGTGCAGCCAGTCGCATTGCAATGTCGCCACGGAAGTTCTGGAGGGAATACTTAGCGCCGTGCTTTAGCAGTATCCTCACCATGTTTACGTCGGCGCCCTTGGCAGCGTGCATAAGCGGCGTGTTGCCCTTCTCATCCTGCATGTTCGGGTCAGCGCGGCCCTGCAACAACAGGCAGACGATTTCCTCATATTTCGTGCTATCGTTTCCCCATGCACGTTCCTCTTGTCCCTTTACGACGGCGTATAGCAGAGCGCCCCGGCCCTTGCTGTCCTGTTGGTTGACGTCGGCGCCCTTATCCAGCAGCGCCTTGATGACATCTTTGTGGCCGTTGTCGGCTGCGATCATCATGAGCGTCGATCTTGAACCAAGACTACCGTATCCGAAGGTCTTATTGATGTAACCTCCGTTGCGGAGCCAGTACCTGACACCCTTTTCTCTGCCGTGTAACGCATCGAGTTTCACTGCCTGACGCTGTCCTGCGCCCTGCATTGCGCACACGGACTCGCTCGGAAAGCAGGTCGCACTTTTCCATCCGCCCGCCGAGATCAGGGTCTTTTTTTCAATCAACCTACAGCGTACGCTGTAGTGTCGTAGGTATATTGTAGTGTAGTGTGTGTGCGAAGAGAACTGACATCCCAAGCTAGCTGGGGGAGGACAGACACGTCCCCACCTTAGCTGGCTGTATGGTATACACCACGTAGTCGCCCATGCATGCCCCTCGGGCTTTAGGGGCCCCCCCCCCCGGGGGGGGAAGCCTCCCGGGGTTGACGAAAGGCCCCTTGTTTTGGCCCCCCCCCCCCCCCCCCAAAAAAAGCCCCCCCCCCCCCCCCCCCCCCCTTCTGCACTCACTTCCTACATACATAATTGAGCCAGCTACGTTATGCAAACCATGATGGTTGATGGCCACCCTCTCCTCACAGGTGGGCTTCGGGCATGGACCCCAGGCGAAGTCAAGGCGGGACGAAGAGGTAAGGTAAGGTATAAGGTTCACGTCAAGCCTTCCTCCCCCAGGCTGTCCGCCCGCTCGGCCAGATCAG